ACACACACACACACACACACACACACACACACACACACACATTTGCATAACTGTAATCTAATTATGTCGAGTATCACTTATGCTACCAAAATTAAGACGAAGAGTAGCCCAGCCTAAGTCCTTTGTAAATATTTCTCTATGATGCCTTCACGATAAATAACTGTTTCAGCACCAAGGACAGACACCGTCATACAATGAACCAGTGAAAAGAGTATCAAAGACCTTCTGGCGAAAGAAGTAGTTTCGTATGCGGAGTGACTAACAAACCCGCCGTGTCGTCGTGATGTTCAAATGGTTTCACAAAATGGTTTCAATGGTTTCTGAATTTGAAAATCCAGATCTGCTGCCCTAAAATTGAATTGGGTACAGAGCATTACATGCAGACGGCTGTCTCTGGTTCTCTCCGCAGTTGGAACCCCGGGCAGTCCTCACGATGTCTCGTCTCAGCTTGTTCTCGCTCGCCGTGTCGTGCATCTGTTTCCTCAGGTAAGGCTGTAGGAAATGTAGAACTAAGGTCTATAACTAAACATATCACCCTGTAGCAGTACGTTTTGTGGACAGTTGGGTGGTGACAACAAATGCTTAAAAAAAGCTGGATGAGGGCCAAGATGATGAGAATAGCTGACTGTGATGACGATGTGTGACTCAAATAATTGGTCGCTTTGGAGACCTGAATTGGACTAATGTTAATAAGACTGGACTTAGATGCACAATTGTCATATATCACGAGCTGTTGCTAACGGAAGGATGGTCCACGGTAAGGATGTATTAAAACAGGTAGCTATGAAAATCGTCATCGCATCTGCGAAAAATACGTACTCGTATTTTGGACTTTCTTAAGGATCCAAACTAGTCCGGACAACAGGATCCGGATTTCTCCGACGTAATGCTTCTTAGGTCACATTTCCAAACCGGGGCCCGGCCGGGCTGTCTGTATGAGTGAAAAATTAACTTTTCTCACTGCTTAATTATTGGATCAATCCGCCAATGACGTCATCACACCCCATATAAGGGGCTGATAGCCCATTCACTCTGTGCATTTACTGGAAACATCCCCCCGGACCGGTTGGAGTCGCAGCGTCGTGGAGGTCTACCGTCCGACCAGCACGACAGCGTTTCGACAAGGAAGGAAGCACGGAGCGGAGACCGGAGTGCCTGGGGGAGAACTGCAAGGATTCTCGCTGACCAGTTTGGTCAAGGTTTGGCTAGTGTAGACGGTAGTGAGAGTCCAGAATTTTCGGCGTGTTTTTTGTGGCGCCACGGTTAGCGGGTAGGGCAGGCGCGCCTTGCTAGAGTGAGTTCGGTTTTTCTTAGAGGGAGAGTTTAGTTTTGGCTGTCAGTGTGTTGTTTTTTGTTTTCTTTTTCGCACCTCAAGCTTAGTGGAGGTTTTGGGGTGTAGAATTTTGCGGGTTTTTGGATGCGTGAGTTTTCGTGTTGGAATTTTCCGTTAGCGGGCGGTACACGTGGTCCTCCACACCTGGGTCATTTGCATTTGAATGGTGGAGGCATTTTTCTTTTGTCTGCTAGTTTTGGAGTGGGATTGTTTTAGCAGGGATTGGATACCTGAGTGGGGTCTCAGGCCTTGCTGGTTCGCCGCTTGGTCCTTTGGCTGTACGGGGCACCTCTTCCCGCTATGGTGGGGACTCCCTCGGGTGGGTAGTGTAAGTTTTGCAGTGGGATTGGCGTCTTTTATGAATGGACATTGTTTGCACATGTAGATATGACGCCACGAGCACCAAGACTACCTACCGCGGGAGTGCAGGATGCCGGGCAGCAGGGAGTGAGACCGGCGGCTCCTCAACAGCAGGGTATCCGTCCTCCAGCCCCGTACTCAGCAGTGTGCGACAACCGCAGCAGCAGGTTCCGCCGCCGCCAGGGATAAATTCACAGCAGCAGTTTTAAGTGGTATCCGCAGGATCTTGGCGGGTTTTTTCCATGTGGGGTTTCACACGTGGGCATTTGCATTTGAATGGTCTAAGGAATCCGTGTAATTTTGTTGTTTTCGTAGGGTGGTTTAGATTGTTTTGGTGTGAGCTCCCTCGGGCGGGTATTTTAAGTAATTTGCGGTACGCTTCAGGTCTGAAGTTTTGTTTTGTTCTGTGCCTATTCAGTGATAGTGACTACAAAACTACCCACCGAGGACATGCAGAAGTAGACACCAGACGATAGGTGGACAACGACGACATGGACCGCAACTAACAACGACGCAGTTCCCGCCTCTACAGCGAGCTCCTCTACCGCAACGATATCAGCAGGACATTCGGCACCTAGCTCTACAACATCTGCAGAGCGCACAGCAACCGGCTCTACAGCACTAGCAGCCAACCGGCTCCGCGACATCGGCAGAGCGGAAGGCAGCCGGGAGTTTTATGTTTGTTTCGTATTTTTCAGTATCTCCGACAGAGCGCTGTGCCGGCATTTCGTCTTCGCGGACACCTTTGGCAGGACGACCAGCACTTCAGCATTTACGTCGTGCATGTCGTGTTCGTCACTGTTCTCACTGAGGTGTTCTTTGGTACACTTCGGTGGGAGCAGTGAGCGGTAAGCACACATGGAGGGTGGTGTGATCTTTTCGTCGTCATGTTGTGTTCGTCACTGTTCTCTCTGAGGTGTTCTTTGGTACACTTCGGTGGGAGCAGTGAGCGGTAGACACGCATGGCGGGCGGTGTGATCTTTTCGTCGTCATGTTGTGTTCGTCACTGTTCTCTCTGAGGTGTTCTTTGGTGCACTTCGGTGGGAGCAGTGAGCGGTAGACACACATGGCGGGCGGTGTGATCTTTTCGTCGTCATGTTGTGTTCGTCATTGTCCCTGCTTGAATGTTCTTTGGTACATTCGGGTAGGGGCAGTCGAGCGGTAACACACATCACGAGCGGTGTGATCTTTCCGTCGTGCATGTTGTGTTCGTCACTG